CAGCACTTCACTTACCCTGTAAAGCCCAGTGGTTACTATATGTACCAGCTGCTTTAATATACTAAAACTCCGCATTCTGCCCACACAGTGTATCTGTGTGTCCCGTACGGCTCTCACAGTAAACAGTAACTGTTTCGCTAAACAGCAATAACCGGTTTGTCATTGTAGCGGAGACGTAATGTGTTTCCTGTGAGGTACGGGCTGAGATTTAATATATCATTCAGAATAAATAATTTCTTTAGAGGGTTAATAATCAGTTCCACCACCAACCATTGTCTAGGTTTCGGACAGAGCGATTCAGAAGTTCGTTCTTCTTCCATCTTCAAGGAAAATTTGGACCTAATCTGAAGGAACCCTGTGCAATGACAGTGATTCCTTCAAGCAGACTCGTCAGATTAAATCCCACTTTTGTAATAGGCCGTAAGAATAACCAGTTTCCGAATAGCACAAAATGTTGACTCGTGGTTCACCAACTTTTGACATCCTCTCAACCCCCACCCTCCATTCTGGTTCCCACCAAATTCTCCAGCGGCTCCGTTTTCATTATTGAACTCAAAGTAACGTTTTGCACAACTGCCTACAACAATATGAAGAATTAACTGGTAAACAGAACGATACCAAAACTGTTGAGTAAAATATTAGAAAATTTTAAGATGAAAATGCCACACGATGCTCTTAAATTGGAAACGAATAATGCCGACAGATGTTGAAATCTACACTCTCTAAGTATATTATTATCTGGATTAATAATGCTGACAACTGTCTACGCAAGTGATGATTAAATACTGCTAAAACAAACTATGGCCGGTCACGGTAGCCGAGCGGTCTAAGGCGTGCACTGTCTTCGCTCGCTCGGAAGCCGGGATCGTGGGTTCGAATCCCACTCAGGGCATGGATGTTTAGTTTGTGTGTGTTTTTCTGTGTTTGTGTACAGACAGAGGCCTTGCGACGAGCTGATCACCCGTCCAAGGAGTCCTACCGAATGTCTAAGATCTAGAAAAACCGAAGTAAACGGAGAAGTTCATGGAGGTAGGCCTAGGCCCACTGGGGCTGTAGTGCCAAGGAAAGAAAAACGAACTATGAGAAGAATCTGGCTGGAATTCCACTCCCACAGGTTGGAAATCAATGATCTAGACGATGGATAATTTCCACGATATTAAACTAATTGCGTACATTGCATCATAGTCAAAAGACCCATGAATTACTCTAGGCAGTAAGATGTTCACCTTCAAGGTCAATCGTCTATCCTGAAGATGGAGGAAACATGTTCAGAAACGTTAGTACCCATTTTTTCCCCCCCAAAATAAGGGAAGTAGGCTAAAAATATTCTGATCATGAACATTTAATTACTCTAACTATACAAAGCACAGTCTTCTTGAGAAGCTACCAGTCGCTCACCTATTCAATAAATTCCCCGCCTTTCATGGAACCCAAAGTTCATTACTGTGTTCACAACAGCTCGCTCCTGATCGCTATCCTGAGCCAGATAAATCCAACCTACACTTCAACATCTTTTAACGAACTCAATGCGATACAGTCCTTACGACGCTAACAGTCAGATGACCAAGAAAATAGTTTATAAAAAAAGATAGTTCATTGCCGTATTCATAAAACGCCGCCACTGGTCTCTATCCTGTGCGAGATGAACCCAATCTACACCTCCATTATCTTATTTCTTTAACAGCAATTCTATGTTATTCACCCATCCACCTCTAGATCTCCGAAATTATCTTTTTTTGTCGGATTTCCCATCATTTCATTCTCTTCAGAAAAAAAAAAAAGGAGCGGCAGTATTTAATCTCAAACCCGTCTTTGAGCCACCTTGACTCTTTTTGTGATTTATTTATACCACTCATATGATAAAAAAACACTGTTGCGTAATATAAATTTGACTTTAAGCTGCTGTTAACAGTCACAGATATACACGTATCAATTTGGCAACAGTGCATGGATCACGGTCTTCCTGAAATGAACTAACCAATGAGAAACGCGCCGTCGCTATTTCCTGGTTCCCACTTTGCCTGCTCATCACCCCCCACCACTGGCTCGTCACGTCGTGCCATTAGCACAAACACCCACTTGGTTCCCCGGCACTGAACAGCGGCATATAGGTACTGCAAGCAGTTGAACCAGTCGAAACCCACACTGCGAGCAGTCTGTCCTTTATCGCTTCCTTTTCGGCGTACTTGCTTCTAGGGAAACAAAGTAGGTTTATGTGATCGTCACGCTGTTTCAACTCCAAACCAGCTGACCGGTTTTCAAGAAATTATGTATGAATGTTATGCCATCGGAGGCCATAACAAAGTCACAGTTCATAATTGCCTAAGTACATGAAGTCTTGAGAAGCAGCCAGTCGCTCAGCTACTCAAGAATTTCCAAACATTTTATGGAACCTGAAGGTTCAGTACCGTGTTCACAAAAGCCTTCCACTGGCCCCTATCCTGAGCCACAAGAATCCTTCTCTAAGATCCACTTTAAATATTGTCCACCCACGTACGTCTTGGTCTTCCTGGTGGTCTCTTTCTTTCTGACTTTCCCACCAACATCCTATATGCATTTCTCGCCCTGTCCATCTCATTCTCCTTGGCTTCATCATTCTAATTACATCTGGCGAAGAGTACAAGTTCTGAAGCTACTCATCCTGGAATTTTCTCCAGTATCCTACTGTTTCAGCCCCCTTCCTTCGGTTCAAACATTCTCCTCAGAAACCTGTTCTCATATGCCTTCTGTATATTCGCGTCCTCCTAACTCCAGGCACCAAGTACAGGTTTTGTACATTTTAATTTTTACGATTGCGTACTATTAATGTGAATACGCAAACGCAAGAGCCTATAGGGTGGGGGCGACACCAGGGCCATTTAATTTAGGGCCCTAAAATAACGTATGGTAACATTTAAAAACCTTCATCTAGCGCGGAGGTAAAGAAAATGTTAACATACAGGATGTTTCACGACTTTAGGGCATAACTGCAGGAGGTGATGATTCTCTAGTTCTTTGTGATCAAAAAAGTTCATATAAACATGTGTCCGATTTTGGACGGTTACGGAGTTATGACCGTTTTAAACTCAGAATAGAAGGTAACGATTACTGACAATAAACGGAACAAAATAATAAACCAGCATAATACATGATACATTTAAAGTATGAATGTAAAGTTAACTTCGTGAAATTACCTTTAATTTGAATTTATTGGTGCTTAAAGCTGATTTTCGAAAATGCCACCGCCGGCCGCAACACAGGCTGCCGCTCGGTTGTGAACCGCGCCGGACATACCAACCCTCCCCGCCTTAGGTACATCTCAAGTGTCGAGATAACGAGAGCGCTCTGTCTGTAGCTGGCTAAAAATAGCGACTCTCCAGCTGATAGACGCGGTTCACACGAGGGCGTGTACGGGAATGAAAAAAAAAACGATCATAATTCCGCAACCGTCCAAAATCGGACACATGTTTATATGAACTTTTTTGATCACAAAGACCTAGTAAATCACCTCTTGCAGTTATGCCCTAAAGTCGTGAAACACCCTGTATATATCCGCTCTCCCATACGTCTTTATGGCGTAGTGCTAAATTAATCAAGTACAGGGACAACTTTACCTTTTACTTTGACAGATTTTAAAAAGTATGCAATTTTTGTTAAGCTTACTTATTTTATAGCCTGCAATATAACAACACAGTGGCCGTGAGATAATTTTTAACTTCCTGCCTGACGGCAACACCTAACGAGCCACTGGATCTACGAAGACAGATCACAAATGTATCTGGTCATCTTGCTTCTACGTCAACAGCTTCAAACATGGCGATGGTGCGAAACTTCTATCTTCTGGGATATAACGCCGTGTTGCCTATATATTACTCTTAAATTGTTCCTGTCTCAACACAACTATCAAAACTCACTCACACATTACCGTGCAACAAGGGGTTTATTGGTCTTATAGTGTTACAACGCGCTACATATTTCGGCCTCATCTGGCGGCACAATTTAACGAATACGTTGCTTCCATCCTCAGGGTCGAATAATAGGCTAGTACATGTTCCTTCGAAACGTCGGTTGACTTTCAAAGGACTACATGGCGTTATATCTCAAAAGTCAGAAGTCTTCATAACCACAGTAATGATAATCTGTTCTTCCTAAAAATAAAATACTCGTACATAATAACAATAACAGTAATAATAATAGCAACAGCAATAGCAATAATAATAGCAAAAAAGGTAAAGTAGTCACTATGCTTAATTAATTGTTACGACATGAAGGCGTGCGTGGATGTATAATCCACGCATTTGACCTCGACGGTCAGCTTCACGCCCCGGCTCCTTTACCCCTGGAGAATGAGTCACCGATACCCATTGTGTGCCCACTGGGTGGGCCCCAAAGCCGGTCTGGATGACGTGGAAATGAGAAAAATCTTCCCCCTACCATAAAATAATAACAATAACAATAATAATAACTCTGTAGGGACTGTAGGACTATAGATCTATAAGCAACGGGGAAATCGGTAGGCTTTATTTATCTCGCTCATAACTTCCTGCACTCACAGCAGGGATGCGTGACAAACTTTGCGTGCCTGTCTCTCCCATTTAAATAGTTAAACAACGCTTTACATAACAATCTACGGCGTTTAGCACATGATACAGAAAGTATCCTACTATCAAGTACCACGGCGCACCGTCTTCCCTTGAACAGCTGAAAATCGTTCAGATAGAGTAGAAATTTCTTGCTTTTATGGAATCGATGGGCTCATTACCACGTTCACAACAGCCTACCACAGAACTTTAGCCTGAAACCAGTTAAATCCAGTACAAATTTCGAAAGCATTTCTCATTTTACTTAAAATTTTATATACAAAACCCTCACATCGACAAAAAAATTTGAACGGCTGAACAATGATAGTACACAAATTATGCTTTGCGTGTGTATGATGAACCGTTCAGGAAATGGCACTTAACTTGTGGGCGACTATGACGTAACGAGTAGGGGAAATTCAATTGTGTTTCGTAACGTACCTTACAGCTACTTGAGTACGTGGACTACAGTCCGAAGCGAAGGAAGTGTCTTCTGCCCTCTGAAAAACGAAAGAATTTTACATTTCAGGAACTAGAGAGAAATCCCAATCGGAGTTCATATACTGCTTTGACATACAAATGGCTACACATCCGTTTCCAATGCTACTTAACGACAGTGTTATTCCGTCAACAGTAGACGGTGTGCGACACAGTCACGACAACCACGAATTTATAGTTCCGAGATAGCTACGTCGGTATAGCGACGGGCTGGACGACCGGAGTTCAATTCCCGGCCAGGGCAAAAGATGTTTCTTTAATCCACAATGTCCAGACCGGCTCTGGAATCCACCCAGTATCCTAACCAATGAGTACCGCTTGATCTTTCCCAGTGTGTTAAGCGGCTGGGGCGTGAAGCTGACCATTCACCTCTATCCAGTGCTGAGGTCAAGAATGGTGGAGCTATACCTCCATTCACCCATACGTCTTCATGGCGTAGTGTTTAATTAATTAATAAATTGCACAGGGCCTCAAACAGGGCTCGAATTTGACTTTCTTCCAAATAATATATAAAGATTTGGTTCGTACCTCAGAGGAAACACATTACGTCTCCACTACAAAGACCAACCGGTTAGTGCTGTTTCGGGGATAAAATCTCTTTATTGTAAGAATCATATGCAACATACAAATACACTGTGTGAGCAGAATGCAAAGTATTGGTATGTTACAGCAGGTGGTACATATAGTAACCGATGAACTTTAAAGAGCCCTGAAGCCGCTATAGATACGACTTACAACCTGCGCACCGAAAACTTAGCCCATCCACGCAATGTGGATACCCGTGTTCTCAAAACTGGCTCATAATTTAAACAAAGACGTACAGAACATGAAATATTTATACTACTGAGGTCAACTTTTAGCTGTAACGTCTTTTCTAAATCTGATTAATATTTAAGAACCTATTAAAAAAATATGTGGGTCATACCGAAAGAAACAACAGTTGTCATCCAATGTTGTGTCGAACAGCGTCTGGAATTCAGAGCTTCAAACGGTAGAAATTAAAGTCAGTTCATATTATTATTCATAGCGAAATGGTGGTCGAGAAAAGTGACATGTTTTGTTACCTCTTCAATATTTAACCATTCCTAAAACTCGCCTGTTTGCATGTCCTGCATCTATAGCGTGTCAAGAAAATTCCAATGGCCGGAAGGAAAGAAACAATATGTCACAGAGTTACCAGGGGTCAGCCGGCGCGTAAGGCTGACAACATTACCGCCATCTTTGAGCCGATTGTCTAGATAATGTGGGACCCTCAACGTCTCACAACCCTATGGGCTAAGTTACCAGATTCTAGATCGGATGATTGTATTTATTGGCACTTCGGTTACAAGTTCTCTTAATTACAATTAATACAGCGCTATCGCTGATTTACAAACTTTACAGTTCACCGTTACACACTTACTAGGATTCTGTTATCACTAGTCGTATCCTAGCAACGGATCTCAACACAAAAACTGTCACTTCAAATCACTACGAAGTCTTCTTGCCATTTCTTGTTCACTCACCCTGGAACCTCGGAACTCAACTAAGAACTCTTCTGAACTATTCTTAGCTGCAGGCGGACTCGTGTTATATAGCCGAGGCATGGACAACGTAGAAAACACAGCCCTACTGTTGCGTAGCGCAGACCACGCAGAAAATATTAGTCGTGTGATAGGTGAGCACTGTCGGGATGTGATGTCATTGCACCTGCGCGGAAGTGTGTGTTAGCGGGACGTTGCCTAGAAGCGGGTTGCATAACCCCGTTGTTCCACTGTTGCGTGCATTACTTAGAAACGGCTGTTGCTGGGGCTCAACCGTTCTTGCATGGAACAAATACGCCACAATATTAAAGTAGGATTTAAAGATATAGGACAGGAGGATATAGACTGAATCTGGCTCAGGATAAGGACAAGTGAAGAAATACTGCGAACTTGGTGACGAAACTTTGGATTACATGAAAGACTGGGAATTCCTTAGCTAACACAGACACCGCCAGGCTCTGATGGGGTGGACATCTGCCCATTCTGCATTTTTTGTTCAAAATTAGAAAAGGAACTGCACCAGATATTAATACCAAAAATTAAAATAACTTTTTATAAGATGCATTCTTCTATCCCGAATACTCTCGATCGTTCAGCAATGAGCCTTAAAATGCAAGTTTGTAAGCCAGTTTTCTGGTCCCCCCCCCCCGGAAAACTAACAGCGTCTCAACATGACTCTACTCCATGGAGCCAGAACTCGTGTACCAGTTATATTGTGAAACAAATTTTTAATGACTTACAGCAATCTCTCCTCTGAAATTTACTGACTCCTCCCTCCCGGGAACCCGCTGTTCTAGGACTGGATGTTCAGGAGCATACCTAGGCCGAAGATAGAAGTAACAGGAGGAATCAGGAGACTTTATAATGAGAAGCTTCATAATTTATATTCTCCGGCAGATATTTAGAAGAGTGATCATATCAAAGATGGGAAGGGTACGGGGCTCTTGTGCCCACAGTAATAAATGTGTAGGTTCCACATAAGAGGAAATTTCTCGACCAGCTGAGTGACAATCAGCTTCTCGAACAGTACAGGTAGTTATGTCGAACTCGACTTGCAAAAATACACCGTGACCGGCAACCATAACGAATGAGCTGACGACAATTTCCGCTGTTTAAACACTCCGCATCTCACAGGTCTGATTAAAAATGAAGGAAATTTCTTCAAACACTACAGACTTAAAGCCATTATGGCGATATCCTACTGGCTCTCAAATTTTCTGCAACTGCAAATGGACGAAAATATATTTAGATTGTTTCATTTTATAATGGCTGTAGGAGACGGCAACACGGCAGGCCATATAATTATGGATGTAAGATGTGACAACACAGTGGCCTGTTTCAGTAAATAAGATTTAAAATAAAAGCTTGTTATATTAATACAATTACCGACTTTCTTGGCATTATCCATCGTCCTGGTTTTGTATTTAAAACACGTTTCGAAAACTGGACTCTTTGTCTCCGGCCTCAGGTAAAAACCTACTCAGCTGGACCCAATCGATAGGGCCCAATTGCGCAGGCCGTTACCTGAGGCCGGAGACAGTGGCCACAGTTTTCGAAATGTTGTGTTTTAAATAAAAAAAAAACAGGACGATGGATAATGTCCAGAAATTCAATAACTGAACTGTTTCAGTAGCTTAGAATCGTACTTTAAATTGAAACCCACGTTTTCCCTTAAGAGCCTTGAAATTTGTCTGCGTACCATCTTATGTACCGAAGCCTTGATTTTGCAAGTGAGCAAGATGGCATCATTAATGGCGATAAAGAATCTTTATTTGGATAATATTCACCATTACTGGTAGCCATAAAATGACAGAGTGCGCGGGTATTATTTGTGAAATCCCCAATTTTCGTGTTTACAATCAATTATCGAAACACCATTCGCGTTACGCAATTCTACGTTACTATGAATAGAACACACCTAATCAGACACTGTACCTGTGCCTTCCACCACACACAGCTGGTGGCGATGTTAAAGGAAGCGTTTTGTGTGTGTGTTTGGGGGGGGGGAGTGCTAGGTGTGTAATTTCCCAGACAGGTTGTTCCCAGAATTTCCCCGAATGGCACAAGCGGGCAATGACGTACATTCTACGTACACGACGCATAGCAAAAACACGAAGCATGACAATAAACAGAGGAGGAAGGAGAGAGAGGGACGGAGGTTGGAAGGATGAAGCAAAAAGAGTGGCAAAAATATGAAAAGCGAATAAGCGAAAGAAACCAAAGAGTAAAGAAAAGGAATGAAAGATTTAGGAAGGAGGGGAAAACAAAAAGTAGACATGAATAAAAGACCAACAAAAATGAAAGAAAGAACAGAATTCCCTTTCCTCAGTTTCGTTCTCCTGCTCTTCTGGAAGTATGTCTTTAGCCCTACAAGTGCCAAGTGTCGATAACTTCAACATTTATAAAAATTATTATATCTGGCAGCACGTGCCATCTGTTTCAACTTTATCTTAATTACATCAACACACATGTGGAGGAATTACTTCCCTGTACCTGAGGTTCTTATGAGAATTTATACAGTTACATATCTATGATGGAGGGCGAGGAGCAACCTGAAACGGTGGCGAGGATCCCCAAGGAAAGATGACATTTCTATGGTTAAAGTCTGTCCAAACTTCCAAGTCCTTTGAGAGTACCTTGCATGCGGCAGTACAGTTCTCATCATGAAATTCAGGTCATTTATTTCGGCACTAAATGGAGGTAAGTGGTCGGCTTCAAGCCCCTGTTGCTTTAGTCCCCCCACCCCCTACCCTTACCCGGGAAACAGTCCATGGTGCCCAGTGTACAAGAGACTGGATGGGTCACAGAGCCGGTATGAACCCAGTAAATAGACAAACCTGTTGCCTCTGCTGAGAATTGAACCCGATATCTCGGTAAAGCCCGTAGCCAAGCCATTATACCGACTGTGATATCCAGGATCTAATAAAGATCCTAAAAATATTCTAAAATATAGATTGAGCTATCCCAGCTCTTTATGTAAGTAAAATAAGTTTAAAAAACATTTCATATTTTAAATTTGTCTCAGTAATTACTTTTTATATTTACTGTATAAATTATAGAGTTATTATGAAAACTGTCTTAATAATATATCTATTTTAAATTGGTCTCAATAATTACTGTTTATATGTAAAGTAAAGTAAGTAAAAGTAAAGGTACCCCTGTAACAGGCCGTGGAGACCCACTGGGTTGTGAGATGTTGAGGTTTCCACATTTTCTAGACAATCGGCTCAAAGGTGGCGGCAAGGTTGTCAGCCCTACGCGCCGGCCGCCCTTTACCCCCAAGAATACTTCAAGAATATTCCTGGTACTCATTTCTGTTAGAGGCTGAGTCGACCCCAGGGCCATAGTGCGGCTGGAAGGATTAGGTCAACTGAAAAAAAAATCCAATGTCATCAACGGGCTTGTAGCATAGTGCCTCAACCAATTACGCTACCGCGTGCCCCTCTGTATAAATTATACACCCACCCCACCGATAGTGT